GTCCTTTACGCCCCTGAACAACATACGTCTTGTACGAAAGTTTAGCTTTGGATTGAACTGATTAATCCAAGGTAAACCTAAATATATTGGGGGTCCCTTTAGGTCCGTTACCACAAACGGCACCTTATGAGTCTGGACCCTTCCTCGGGAGTCCACGATCTTCACGTTTGCAACCGTGAAGCCGTAGACAGCGAAGTCCGATCCATTGGGTGCCTTTGGAAAGACACCCGGCAGGGGCTCAATCTCGAGATCCTGCTCCTTGGCTATTGTAGCAGACAGGACGTTCAATTCAGCTCCTCTGTCCACTACAGCCTGAAGGTCTTCTGATAACCCTATGCTTGCTGTCACTGACAACAAGGTTGACCTCTTTGGGTATAACAAGTCCTGAAGGTTTCTAAGCTCCTTTTTGTTGCTTACTAGGGCAATATGGGCTAGGAGGAAGAAGCTTAGTTCTTCTGGCCCTGCCCTTTTCCCTTCTGCTTATTCTTGTCGGACTTGTCCTTGTCTTTGTCCTTTGTGGGACAATCTGGGGAAATATGACCCGGCTGCTTGCAATTCCAGCAAGTAACCTCTGTCCTGTTGGATTTCTGCCTTCTTCCAGCCCCTTTTTGGCTTGGAGGCCTTCTTTGTTCCTTTTTAGGCTTCTTTGGGTCCTTATTGGCCGGAGGTGAGGTAGAACGCCTCTGTGTTCCCTTCTCCTTTGACTTCGGCCCTTTTCCCTTCTGCAGGCGGCGGTAGGATATGTTGCTCTGCTCTTCCACCTGAGCTAGCGTCTCTTGCTCACTTTGTGGGATATATGTCAGATCACGCTTAATCTCGTCAGATAGCGCGCTACTGAAGTCTGCTGTCATCCTTTCTAGGCTCTTCTCGTTGACTTCAGTCTACAATGGCCTAAGGTAGGCCAGAAGTTCGGTTGGGGACTGATTAGGTTGTTGTTTGCAGTTCTTTATGGCGTCATAGGCTACCCTTTTTCGTTCTGCTGGGGTACCTAATGCATTAAGCATCTTGTTTTTGAGATCTTGCCATGTCGGTGACCATAATGGGTCAACAAGCTTCGAATAGGTGCAGTGTGTCTCCCATAGTGATCGTAGTGTCTCATTGACGTATTGTAGGCCAAAAGAGATCTTCTGCGATTCCTGAGCAAAGCTTAATGGACTCTTTTGATGATAGTCCTCATTATCCCTACACCACTGGTTGTAGTCCGCCCTGTTCTTCTTTTCGTATCGGTGCGGCGGTTCGGGACGCGGTAGGTTCGCTCGGTCTTGGGTAGGTTTCGGTACGATGACGTTCGATGCCTTGGTTGGCAACTCGTTAAGCGCGTCCGTATCGCCTGCCTCAAATCGACGACGGATTTCCATTATCCTGGCCAGTTCTTGCGCTTCCTGCTGCTCTTGCAGCCAGGCGCGGGCTTCTGTCAAAGCCTGATTCGCGGGGGTGGACTGTGCGTCGCTTGGTCCCGCACTGGCCCTTCCGACCCCTTCCGGGCCCTGAACGCCTTCTGGATGGCTCGACGAGCCTGATCCATGGGGATTTCCATTGTCCCCTTCACTCATCTCTTGCTCTGTTCCTCCCTGCGTTGGTGTTGACCCTGGTTGAGTATTACCAGGAGCAGCGGTCTTGGCCGGCTCCTCAGGTGATCTTTGAGCGCCGGTTGCATCCGATTCTCCCCTGGCGTTTCGCTTTGACACCATTACGTAGGAATGTTGCCCTTGAGCGGTATGCTGGCTTGTAGAGCGATTCGAATGTAAAGATGGGATGGTAAGTAGCACGGATAGCACTGAGAGCAAGCTTTCGGAGAAAGATAGGAGTGTATTGTAAGAGAGACGAATCGCTGCCAAGCTTCGCTTGTCAGGATTCATGCTTATATACGAAGCACAGGTCATACGACCTCCAAACAGGTCAGGTGAGGCCATACTGGCCCGTTCTGGGACATCCGGCCTTACAAAAGGACTATAAAAATGCCTGCTGCAGAACTAAGTTTCTACTACAAACACTTAGCCAGCTTAGGTTTAGTTTAGGAGTAGTGTTACTAATAAGCTGGCATACTGCTATCGATAGGCTTACAACGCCATCGATGCACTGCAGATTGCAGCAATATGCCCTATGTGCTGTAGGAGTAGTTTATTGCAGATTACAGCAATCTGCTGTATGTATAGTAGAAGTATTTTACTGTAAATTGTAGCAATTTGCGCTATGTATAGTAGAAGCATTTTACTGCAGATTGCAGCAATTTGCTCCATGAATAGTATAAGCATTTTACTGCAAATTGCAGCACATTACTCCATGTATAGTATAAACATTTTACTGAAAATTGCAGCACATAGCTCCATGTATAGTATAAGCATTTTACTGCAAATTGCAGCAAATTGCTCTATACCTCTTTTAACGCTACTAGCTAATACCTGGCTAATCCCAGTTGTTTCCTTAAATGAGATACTCCATGCTGCGTCGAACAGCCTGGAAAGGTCTCCGTGATAGACAAGGGCCATTGGCATCTATCCATGAATTGCGTCAGATTGTTCGAGTGAGCTGATGATAGTGACATGAACATCACCACATCTAGTGGCTGAATCGTAAGAGTTGGATGAGGTAGTAGTACTCTGAAGAAGATCTTGTTATCGTCTCAAACTTGATAAACTCCATCGTGATATTAGATCCATAGCCATCGAAGATTAGGAGCCTATGCGAGCTTTAAGATTTAGCTCTAGTCTCTCTATCAAACGCGGTTTTGAGCCACGATATACTCATCTCACTACTCGTCTAAGTAGATAGCGATAAGGTGGACGGAAGCTTGGTGTTGAGAAGGACCAAAATCCTAAAGCCATGTATCTTTGATTATCTCTAGAGGCGGTTTGATTTATCAAACTTGGTATAAGAGCAATACTATCAGCACATATACAAGCTAATACCGTGATCTATTTACGATTACAATCTTAAAGCGCGGCCTTTTGCTTTCCCGATTCATACCTTTGCATACTAAAGACTACCTTCATCCTTGAGAACACTGCAATCAGGAAGCCCTTCTCATCCAGAATATATATTTGATGGCTATCCACCCGGTACATCTCAATCTTGGCGCGCAAAAAACTTGAATTATACAGTATACATGAAGGTAGAATCAATTTTGCGACGGTTGCTATAGATGCCACTCGTCCATCGCGAGAGAAGCTTGATGCAGAGACTGTTGATGAAGCCATCAACCCGACGCTTTCCTACAGGGTTTTTCGCCATCTCTGATACAAAATTTCGTATCATTTCTCTCGGAAGTCGTGGCCCCAGCTGCGAAGGCTATCAATATATATATCACACTAGTGTAGGTTCCCGCGTGGTTGAGATTTCCGTTGGTTAATGTTTTCCTCTACAAGTGTGCCGCATGCCCCGTGGTACCTTCAGAACAACGCTGATCGATCAACACCTATTTTTCAGCAATGTCAATGTAGCATAAGTTTTTCGCCTAGCTTCAGGCTTTCTAAAGCTTTCATGGCAGCCTCAATATCGCCTAACTGGTAGAGAAAGGTGGTTGTGGATTTTTGGGAGAAATGGGGATTGCGTGCATTTCGCGAGGTCGTGTACGGACTCTTAAAACACTTTCAAGGAAAAATCAAAGACCATCACAGACTCTATATGGTCTTGGGGAGAGCGGAGAACATAGTCGAACTCCAAGTAGTTTATAGGAGCGCGTCATGAGCTCAACTCAGAACAGTGCAGCCAGCGTCGAAGGGTCCCTAGCTGATCCGATTATCGATACCAAAGGAACGAGCCCTGTTGTACGAATAGAGTTTACGGGCGGGGCTTTTCTGGAGCAGGGTACGGAATTCTGTACCGGCTCGGGACTAGTATGTACTATTAATAACTAGTTAGCCCACCTGAGATGAGATGCCTTATAAGCCCGGTGGCTTCCATCTCTGCAGAATCAATGTAGTCTCTCCTGCTAACCTTGCTACCATTACAGATGAGCGGTGGTCGAACGCCGCCTTCTGCGCGTCTGCTAGCAAGTACAAAATCGCCCATATTTGTCGCCCGTGATATCTCAGAGGTTATATCTGGCAATTATGAAGGTGGTAAATACCAGTGCGTTGTCGTCAAAATCGGTATTGTATGTTATCTCGGGTGCTACACTAGCTCTAGCGTTCTGCACTTGCGTGAAATGCCAAATTCATAGGCGCTCCGATCGGAAGCCGAATCGATAGTGGCGAGAGTGATGCAATCGGCGCAATCGATTAGCAAAGCGTACGAAAACATCTGATATAATGAAAAGTGCGTAAGACACAGCTTAGGGTTGTAACAATGAAAGCCCAGATACGATTTCAATCCAGGGCTTCATAGCAGGAAGGGCCCGCGGCTCTTTAGTGCAGGACATTTGTGGATACACATCAGCCTTGTATTACGCCGGTGCTCAAGGTGGCGGGACCGTGGGACACCAGGATCGCAGGATCGTAGGATTGCAGGATTGCAGGATTGCAGGATTGTGGGATTGTGGGATCGTAGGATTGCAGGATCAGGGGTGACACGTGCAGGTGGCCCTAGCTCCAAAACTATATCGTCCGTAAAGTAGCTAGCCCTATTGTCAGCACATGTGCATCATACTTCGATATACCACCGTCCACTCGACAGAGTTTTCTCCGGCATCACATCCGAATGATATATCCCCTACACGAGACTCGTGAACATTTTCCGGCAGATCAGCTGACTAAGAGCCAATCACGTGTGTCTATTCTAAGGTACCTACGTTTGATCTTAGCCTTGAAGACTCCCGTTCTCGACTTCGACTAAAAATCTCGAGTGACATCCCCACGGCGCGCGAGAGCAAAGCCGTTTATTACCTCAGATAAGTCGCTCAGGTAGGGCCTCAACGCAGAATCTTCTCCTTTCATGCAAGCATAGCTAAATAAGTACCAAAAGCAGCTTTCCCTAGCAATAAACCCAATTTCGAACATTTGCAGCTGGTTGATCAGTGTGAAAGGTGCGTCAAAATTCCAAACATATAAATTAACAAATTTAATTTCACCCACTTTATTGCCCTCGCCATAACAGGAAAATGGGGAACATGAATGAAAAAGACGGACAAGAATCAATGGGGGGACGCCTTGGCACCCTTCAAGAAATTGTTTGCAACACGTTAGCTTTACCTGTGGAAGAAGTTACCGTCGCATCTTCTTTTCTGCAGCTTGGAGGCGACTCCCTTACAGCTATCGAAGTCGTAGCTCGTTGTTACTCACTTGGGATGATTGTGAGCGTCGCTGATTTGATGCGATGTACCACCCTTATGGAGGTGGCGTCACTGGCATTGGTCAACGACGAGAGCTTAGGAGGCGGGAGTCCGGAGGCATGGTCGCTAATACCCGAGGCGGAATGGTCAAACATCGCAAGCCAGGTACGGAAGCAGTGCGAGCTGACGCCGGAGGAAATGATCCAAGATGTCTATCCCACAACGGCGCTGCAGGAGGGCTTGATGATGCTGTCTGTCAAGCAGCCGGGCTCATACGTGAGCACGAGCATGATGAGACTCGCAGAAGGTGTGGATGCCGACCGGTTCAAGGATGCATGGGAGCAGACACTCAAAGTCTGCGAGTCACTTCGGACGCGTATCGTACTCTGTGGCAGCCAGACACTGCAGGCGGTCATCCAAGCGGAGGCCAAGTGGCAGTATGCGAGCACCGTGCCTGCATATATGCGCCAGGTGCGTGACCTGAGGATGGCCTACGGGTCACCGCTCTGTCAGTACTGGCTGCTTGACGACGGCGAGCAGAAGATCTTCGGCCTTGCCATACATCATGCTATTTTCGATGGGTGGAGCCTGCGGCTGATGTTCCAGGTAGTAGCACAGCTATACAAAGGAGGGGAGGTCTTCCAGACGCCATTTGTACCATTCTCCGGCCTCATCAAGCATATCACCAGTTTGGACAAGGCCGAGGCTAGCGAGTATTGGCGAAAGCAGCTGAGCGGGACTAGCCGACCTACCTTTCCAGCCGCTCAGCGCACGACACCCCCTGCCAATGGACCAGCCAGTAGATCCATGATGCGCAGAATTCCGTTCCAGTTCCGCCCAAACGCGTCCGTCGCCGTCACTCGGGCATCAATTCTACGCGCAGCGTGGGCAATAGTGCTAGCCTGGCACAGTAACAGCACTGAGGAAACAGTCTTTGGCGCCACTGTTACAGGCCGCCAAGCAGCGGTGGCCGGCGTTGAGAGAATGGTTGGACCTGCTATCTGTACAGTGCCGGTTAGGGTTAAGTTCTGCCGGACGCAGCGTGTAACGGGATTTCTGGAGGAGATACAAGCACAGGCCGTCGAGATGATCCCTTTTGAGCAGATGGGCCTTCAGAATATTGCTCGGCTAAGTCCGGACGCGCGGGAGGCGTGTGAATTTGCAACAATTATGGTGGTGCAGCCACATACAGGAGTAGATGTCGAGGCGTCACCTCTCGTTGTCCCACCGTTCACTGACGCCGATTTGTCGACCTTCTTCAACTATCCGTTAGTGATGCAGTGCTGGCTGGCGGATGATGGGGTGACGCTACAGCTTGTGCATGACATCTCAGTGATCACAACCGCAGAGGCTGAGGCATTAGCCCGAAAGTACGACCACGTCGTTCAGCAGCTACTATGCGCCCTCGACGAGCAGCCCACGATGACCCTCGACGATGTTAACATACTCACTTTTGAGGACAAAGAAAAGATATGGGAGATGAACCACGATGTACCACCAGCGGTCGAACGATGTATCCACGATCTGTTTGCAGAGCAGGCCAGGCTACAGCCCGACGCACCCGCGGTTTGTGCGTGGGACGGCGAGATGACGTACAACGAGCTGGATGAATTATCAACTAGGCTAGCAGGCCATCTAGTCGAGCTCGGTGTCAAACCAGAAGACGTCGTACCACTCTGCTTCGAGAAGTCTATGTGGACGATTGTCGCCATGCTGGCGGTACTCAAAGCGGGCGGAGCATTCGCACCCCTAGACCCAGAACATCCACAAAGCCGCCATGAGGAGATCTTTCAGCAGACAGGGGCTAAAGTGGTGCTCACTTCAGCGCAGTGCTCTACCTTATGGGCAGGCTCAACCCGCAACGTTGTCACAGTGAGCGAGACGTCAATCCAGCACCTGTCAATCACAACCAACTCAACGCATTCTACAGTACAGCTGAGCAATATTGCGTACATTATCTTCACATCAGGAAGCACTGGAGTGCCGAAAGGTGTTGTGCTGAACCACAGGGCGGTCTCCACAAGCTGCCTGGGGCATGGAAAAGCATTTAAACTTACATCACAGGCACGTTTTCTTCAGTTTTCTGCTTTCACCTTTGATATGTCTATTACTGAGGTCATTGCAACCCTTCTATACGGCGGAAGCGTGTGTATCCCCTCTGAAGGCGATAGACGTGACAACCTAGCGAAAGCAATTAATGATATGCAAGTTAACTGGGCCTGTCTAACCCCAACAGTTGCACGCCTGCTGGATCCTGACAATGTTCCATCACTTCAAACATTAATTTTTGGAGGCGAAGAAATTAGTAGCGCCGACTGTAAAAGATGGGCAGGCAAAGTTGAAGTCATATATTCATACGGTCCTACAGAGTGTTGCGTTGTCTGCACAGCCTCTTCTGGTATACAAGACTTTAAGTCGGGAATAATTGGCAAGCCAGTCGCATCTGTTGGCTGGGTGGTAGATCCTAAGAACCACGACAAGCTGGTGCCTCTAGGATTAATAGGCGAGCTTCTTGTTGAAGGACCAATCCTCGCGCGCGGCTACCTTAACGACTACGAGAAGACAAAGTCAGCATTCATCGACAACCCCGCCTGGCTGCTGGAAGGTGGAGGAGGCCGTCCCGGACGTCAAGGAAGAATGTACAAGACAGGTGACTTGGTCCACTATGGGCCTGACGGCAACTTAATCTATGCAGGCCGGAAAGACAACCAAGTTAAAGTGCGAGGCCATCGAGTTGAGCTTGGTGAGATTGAGCACCACATCAGAGGTTGCATTCCTGAGGCTACGCATATGGCAGTGGAAGTAATCATGCCAGAAGGAAGGAAAGATAATGCAACGCTAGCAGTCTTCCTTCAGCTAGATGAAAAGGACCGCAATGCACTACAACTGGGCAATGTAATTGGAAACAACTCCTTAGTGCAGATAGTGATCCTTGCCGAAGTGGACAAGAAGTTGGCCGACTCTCTGCCCAGTCATATGATACCTGACGTATACTTTGCGCTGTCGCAGCTCCCCATGACAGTTTCCGGCAAGACGGACAGGAAGCGATTACGCGAGATTGGGACTTCGTTATCGGCCCAGCAGCTGGCTGAAATGCGAACTTCAAGCCAGGGTCCGAAACGTCCACCGACGACAGAGGCCGAGCAGACGATGCAGCGGCTGTGGGCCCATGTGTTGAATATCAAGCCTGAGACCATCGGCATGGACGACAGCTTCTTCCGCCTTGGCGGCGACTCTATCACAGCTATGCAGCTGTCTGCAAGCGCTCGCTCGCTTGAAATCCATCTCTCAACGCGCGACATCTTTCGCAGGAAGACCATTGCTGAACTCGTCCGCCATGCTACATCTTCCAAGCCTCTTCAGCTCGCGCGCGCTGCAGAGGATCCAGTAAACACACCGTTTGGCCTGACCCCGATCCAAGAGCTGTACCTCCGGCTTGAGCCTACTGGCAAAGCCAGTTTTGACCAGTCTATTTACTTGGAACTTCGTACCCAAGTGCCACTCAAGATGCTCTCTACAGGCCTTAGGATCCTTGCCCAACGCCACTCTATGCTAAGGGCTCAGTTCAGCAAAGCAGTTGGAGGCAGATGGCAGCAATATGTCTCTGATTCTACTGACACTTCTTTCACCTTGCAACATGTGCGACCTAGGGACACTGCAGACGTCACCCAGGCCATACTCGAAAGCCGGAGCTGCCTAGACATTGAGAGTGGACCTGTCATGGCAGCGGTCTTGTTTGACGTTGGCAATCGTCAGTCTCTGTTCATGGCTGTTCATCACCTAGTAATTGACCTTGTCTCATGGCGGATTCTTCTTGAAGAGCTAGAAGATGTACTGCTGGGCCGGACACTATCCCCTGCATCCTCAATGCCCTTCCAAACCTGGCGCGCCATCCAGACTGAGTACGCTGGCAGGGATGCAGATCATGGAAATCCAATACAGGAGAAGGTGGACCTCAGCCAGCTATCATACTGGGGCGTAGTACCCAGCACAATATCGCACACCCCTACAACTACCGAGCGTTTTGTGCTTGATAGCAAGACAACATCTGCTCTTCTTGGAAGCTGCAACAACGCTCTCCGAACACGTCCTCTTGAGCTTATGATTGCAGCCCTAATTCATTCGTTTGCGGCTGTCTTCCCTGATCGGAACCCTCCCCCTATCTTCAATGAGACCCATGGGCGTGAGCCATGGGACGACAGCATTGACCTTTCGCGAACTGTGGGGTGGTTTACGAGTATGTTCCCTGTCCAGGTATCAACTAGCGCTCGCAGCAGCTTGCTCCATGTCATCCGTGCCACAAAGGATTGCATACGTAGCTTTAAGCGCAGTGGCCGGTCGTATTTTGCATCCCACTTTGTCAACGAAGATACTATCCATGATTTCACATCCATCTTTCCTGTGGAAGTAATGTTCAATTATCAAGGAGCGTACCAGCAGCTTGAGCGCGATGAGTCGTTATTTAAGAATGTGCCTGTTCCGGAAGGCTGCGACCCAGCATCAGCAGCTGAAGCCGGAAGGTTCTCCTTGTTTACGGCCTCAGCGGTCATAGAAAACGGTTGTGCGCATATAGGTATTGCACACAGTGGTATCACGAAGCATCAAACGCAAATTCGAGACTGGGTTCAACTGTACGAGAACACCTTGATGGATATGCCCAACCTTCTTCACGGCAAAAGCCCCGAGTGGACGCTGAGCGATCTTTCATTGGCTTTCCACTCATACACCGACCTTGACCGCTTCCAAAATGACACTCTTGCGAAGTTAGGCGTGGGGCTAGAGGATGTCGAAGACGTCTACCCCTGCTCTCCAATGCAGGAAGGGATCCTGGCCAGCCAGAGCAGAGACCCTGATGCTTATCGCGTGTGTCTCATTCTCGAAGCCATATCTACTCAGAACACACGCGTCGACTGCGGTCGACTACAGCGCGCTTGGAAGGCCGTTGTTCGACGACACTCGCTACTACGGGCACTGCTAGTGGATCACGTCCCCGGAAGCTCGGGCATCACCAACATTGTGCTTAAGAATCCCCAACCAAGTATCTCAGTTTTCCAGGCTACAGGAGATACAGTGAACCTTGAATTATTCCGCGCTCGCTACAACCCAGTCAACCAGCAGGCAAGTGGCTTACAGCATCATCTCTCCATCTGCCAGCTCGACAACCAAAGAGTATACCTGTGCCTTGACATTAACCACGCTATCATGGATGCCCACTCGAGAGGCGTCATCATGCGCGACCTGCAGACTGCATACAGTGCTGATCTCGATTCACATGGTGCACCATTCAGGAACGTCATCTCTTACTTGAAGGAGCAGTCACAGGAAGAGGCCGGCCGCTATTGGGCCACCCAATTGGAGGGTATCGAGCCATGCTATTTCCCCTCGATGGCAGAGGGCGCAGCGAAAGGCCACAGGGACGAGACAGTGGAGGTGCCTAATCTCGATGCAGGCATAATCCACGCGTTTTGTGAAGCGTGGGAAATCACCCCAGCCACCCTCATTCAGACAGCTTGGGCGTTAGTACTCAGCCGTTATACTGGCTCTACAGCGCCATGCTTTGGTAGTCTCTCGTCAGGACGAGATGTGCCAATTGATGGCATTGACGACATCTTCGGCCCGCTAATTACCATGCTGACCTGCCGGGTACGTCTTCATGAGCAGTTAACTGTAATAGAGGCCCTACGAACGGTACAGTCGGACTACATGGATGCCTTGGCACACCAGACGTTCTCACTAGCTAGCGTACATAACATGCTTCAACTCGGAACATCTCCACTATTTAATACTAGTCTATCCATTCAGCGGCTCGAGGATGTAGAGGGTGGTGAGGTCCCTGAAATCCTCTTCCATTTCCAGGAGGGTCAGGATCTGACTGAGGTATGTTGACGCAATATGTACGTTGTATGGATGAAGCTAAAAGATTCGACCAGTATGATGTCATTGTTGGTGTCCGCTACAGCAACACAGTTATGGAAGCCAGCATGACGTTCCAAACTAGCTGTATGGACCAACTTCAAGCGAAACGCGTGGTAGAAAGCCTCGGTATAGCAATTGCCGCCATGACAGCAGAGCCAAACACTGCGGTGAACGACCTAGATTTGGTAACAAATGAAGAGAGGCGTCAACTATGGGCCTGGAACAATACTATTCCTCCAACAGTAGACGAGTGCGTCCACGACATCTTCTCTGGCCGTGCAAGATCTCAGCCTGAGGCGCAGGCCATCTGTGCATGGGATGGCGAGATGACGTACAGCGAGCTGGATGAATTATCAACCAGGCTAGCAGGCCATCTAATCGAGCTCGGCGTCAAGCCGGAAGACATCGTGCCACTCTGCTTCGAGAAGTCTATGTGGACGATTGTCGCCATGATGGCCGTACTCAAAGCGGGTGGAGCATTCGCACCCCTGGACCCAGAACATCCACGAAGCCGCCACGAGGAGATCTTCAAGCAGACGGGGGCTGAATTGGCGCTCACTTCAGCGCAGTACTCTACCCTATGGGAAGGCTCGACCCGCACCGTCGTCACAGTGAGCGAGACGTCGATCCAGAACCTATCAAACAGAACTCATCTGGAGCATTCTGCAGTAGAGCCGAGCAATATTGCATACGTTATCTTTACTTCAGGAAGCACTGGAGTGCCGAAAGGTGTTGTCCTGGAACACAGAGCAGTCTCTACAGGATGCCTAGGCCATGGAAAAGCTTTTGGAATTACGTCACAGGCACGTTTTCTTCAGTTTGCTGCTTTCACCTTCGATATCTGCATTACTGAGATCATTACAACCCTTCTACACGGTGGAAGCGTATGTATCCCCTCGGACGGCGATAGGCGTGACAACTTAACAAAAGCAATTAACGATATGCGAGTTAGTTGGGCCTATCTAACCCCAACAGTTGCACGCCTGCTGGATCCTGAACATGTTCCATCACTTCAAAAACTGATCCTTGGAGGAGAGGAAGTCAGTAGCGCGGACAGTAAAAGATGGGAAGGGAAAGTCGAAATCATAAATGCGTACGGTCCTGCGGAGTGTACTGTTCTCTGCACAGCCTACTTTGGTCTAGAAGGCTTCAAGTCAGGGTGGATCGGCAAGTCGATCGCGTCTGTTGGCTGGGTGGTGGATCCAAAGAACCACGACAAGCTAGCACCTCTAGGATCAACAGGAGAGCTTCTCGTTGAAGGGCCTATCCTCGCACGCAGCTACCTTAATGACCCGGAAAAGACCGCGGGTTCGTTCATTAACGATCCTTACTGGCTGATGCAGGGCGGCGGAGGTCATCATGGACGTCGAGGAAGAATGTACAAGACGGGAGACTTAGTCTACTACAGGTCCGATGGCAACTTAGTCTACGCAAGCCGCAAAGACGGCCAGGTAAAGCTTCGCGGCCAGCGCGTCGAGCTTGGCGAAATTGAATATCACCTGCGGGAGTTCATGCCCAAGGCGCAACAGACAGCAGTCGAGGTAATCATGCCAGAGGGAGAAAAAGACAATGCGACACTAGCTGCCTTCCTGCAGCTAGATGAAGAGGACCGCAATGCACTACAACCGGGTAACGTAATTGGAAACAACTCCTCAGTGCAGATGGTTATCCTTTCCGAAGTGGACAAGAAGTTGGCCGACTGTCTGCCCAATTATATGATACCTGACATATACTTTGCGCTGTCGCAGATTCCCGTGACGGTTTCTGGAAAGACAGACAGGAAGCGACTCCGCGAAATCGGGGCCTCGTTCTCGGCCCAGCAACTGGCTGAAATGCGGACATCGAGCCAGGGACCAAAGCGATTGCCATCAACAGACACAGAGAGGGTCATGCAGCAGCTGTGGTCGCAGGCACTTAACATTGGGCTAAACAGTATTGGCCTCGATGACAGCTTCTTCCGCCTCGGCGGCGACTCTATTGCAGCCATGAAGCTCGTGGGCGAAGCTCGCAGGGCAGGGATGCAGCTCTCTGTGGCAGATATCTTCCGCAATCCGAAGCTCGTAGCATTGGCTAGCTTGGAAACCAACCACAGTAACAGCATGGCTGAAGAGATCGCTGCCTTCTCTCTACTCGGTGAAGAGGCGGATGTGGCACAAATTCGCAAGGAGGTTGCCACCAGCTGCAGCGTTGACGCGAGACTCATCGAGGACATCTACCCTTGCTCGCCCCTCCAGGAAGGACTGATCTCGCTGACATCCAAGAGAGCAGGAGACTACATCATGCAGAGCGTCCTGGAGCTGCGGGCCGACATTGACGTAGGCGCCTTCCGGGCCTCTTGGGAGCACATCTTTCGGTCAACCTCAGCCTTACGCACGCGAATTGTACAGAACAACAAGCTTGGATTGCTGCAGGTTGTTGTAGCAGAAGATATCCAGTGGATAGAGACAGAAAGATTAGATGAGTATCTTCAGAAGGATAAGTCTCTTTCCATGGAGCTAGGCGATCCGCTTGCACGCTTCGCCCTTGTCACAGAAGGCCAAGGAGGGAAGCGCTGGTTTGTAGCGACCATTCACCATGTGCTGTATGACGGCTGGTCATTGCCCCGAATTCTAGAGGCTGTCACGAAGACATACGATGGCGGCTTGGTAGAGAAGCAGCCTAGCTTCCACGCCTTTATCAAGTATCTTAGCCAGCAAGACCAGGAGGCAGGAGAGATGTACTGGAAAACCGCTCTTGCTGACTGCCAGGCGACACTGTTCCCTCCACTACCGTCAGCAGTGCAGCAGCCAGTTGCAGATGCGACAATGGTCTATCAATGCCCTCCGCTTCCTACAGCCGGCTCTGACACAACGATGTCAACACTTCTGCGCGCCGCTTGGGCCCTGGTCGCCAGTCGCTACACCAACTCAGACGACGTGGTATTTGGCGCTATAGTTACAGGACGCAATGCCCCTGTTCCTGGCATTGAGGCTATGATTGGTCCCACCATTGCAACTGTTCCGGTGCGAGTGCGCGTACAGGGCGACCAAGCAGTGTCCGACTTTTTGCAAGGGGTACAGCAACAGTCAACGGAGATGATTGCGTACGAGCAGACGGGACTGCAGCGGATCGCCAAGATGGCGGAGGGCGCCCGACATGCCTGCGGCTTCCAGACTCTGCTGGTAGTGCAGCCTGCAGGCAATGCGACTGAGAGCGATACAGTGCTAGGAGAGTGGCGCGGACACTCTGATCTACAAGACTTCACGACGTATGGGCTGATGCTGCAGTGCATGCTGACTACAGAAGGGGTGCATATCACGGCAAGCTTCGATCCGCGTGTGGTAGAGAAATGGCTAGTCAAGAAGATACTGGGCCAGTTCGCCTTCGTCATGCAACAGCTGGCTGGAGCAAACCCAGAAGACAAGGTGGCAGACATTGATGCCCTTACGCCTGACGACAGACAAGAGATTTGGGCATGGAACGCTGAGACGCCACCAGTAGTGGAACGATGTATCCACGATATCTTCTCTGAACGCGCAAGAGCTCGGCCTGAGGCGCCGGCCGTCTGTGCCTGGGACGGCGAGATGACGTACAGCGAGCTGGACAAATTATCAACCAGGCTAGCAGGCCATCTAGTAGAGATCGGCGTCAAGCCAGAAGAAATCGTGCCACTCTGCTTCGAGAAGTCCATATGGATAATTGTGGCCATGCTGGGGGTACTTAAAGCGGGCGGAGCATTCGCACCTCTAGACCCAGAACACCCGCCAAGTCGCCACGAGGAGATCTTTAAGCAGACAGGGGCTAAACTAGTGCTCACTTCGGCGCAGTACTCTACTCGATGGGCGGACTCACCGCGCAATATTGTCGCAGTCAGCGAAATGTTGATCCAAAACCTGTCAAACACAACCTACTCAACGCATTCTGCAGTAAATCCAAGAAATACTGCGTACATTATCCCGACATCCGGAAGCACAGGAGTACCGAAAGGAGTTGTGATGGAACACCGAGCGGTTGTGACAAGCTGCCTTGGCCATGGGAAAGCATTCGGCCTCGCACCGCACACCCGAGTTCTTCAGTTTTCTTCCTTCACCTTTGACGTTTGCATTACTGAGATTGTTACCACGTTCTTTTTTGGAGGTTGTGTCTGCGTCCCTTCTGAATATGATCGTCGCAACAATCTCTCCAATTTCATCAACACCATGAATGTTAATTGGGCGTTGCTTACTCCGACCGTGGCACGATTGCTTAAACCGAGTGAGACACAATCGCTTAAAATTTTAGTCTTTGGAGGAGAGCAACTTACCAACAGTGATTGCCAGAGATGGAACGGCCATGTTGAAGTGATAAACACCTATGGCATAACAGAATGCGGAATATGGTGCAGCTCATCTCCTGGTGCACAAGATTTTAAGTCAGGGAGTATTGGGAAGTGCATAGCGTCTGTGAGCTGGGTGGTGGACCCTGGGAACTACAACAAGTTGGCACCTCTAGGATCAATGGGTGAGCTTCTTGTGGAAGGCCCAATCCTCGCGCGCGGCTACCTTAAGGATCCTCAGAAGACGGAGGCAGCATTCATTAACAATCCCGCCTGGCTACTGGAAGGGGGTGGAGGTATTCCCGGACGTCAAGGAAGAATGTACAAGACTGGTGACATAGTCTACTATGGCCCTGATGGCAAACTGGTCTACGTGGACCGCAAAGATAACCAAGTCAAGGTGCGAGGCCAGCGGGTCGAGCTTGGTGAGATCGAGCACCACATCCGAGACTGTATTCCTGAGGCCAGGCAGATGGCAGTGGAAGTAATCATGCCAGAGGGAAGGAAAGCTAATGCAACGCTTGCAGCCTTCCTACAACTTGATGACCAGAAACACGATGCACTACAAGCAGGCAATAGCTCCTCAGTGCAGATGGTCATCCTAACTGAAGTGGACAAGAAGTTGGCCGACTCTCTGCCCAGTCATATGATTCCTGACGTATACTTTGCGCTGGCACAGTTCCCCATGACAGTTTCTGGCAAGACAGACAGGAAGCGACTCCGCGAAATCGGGGCCTCGTTCTCGGCCCAGCAGCTGGCTGAAATGCGAACGTCAAGCCAGGGTCCGAAGCGGCAGCCGTCGACAGAAGCCGAGCAGACGATGCAGCAGCTTTGGGCGCAGGCGCTGAACATCACGACAGAAGGCATTGGCTTAGATGACAGCTTCTTCCGCCTAGGCGGCGACTCAATCGCGGCCATGAAGCTTGTCGGCGAGGCTCGCAGGGCAGGGATGCAGCTCTCTGTGGCAGATATCTTCCGCAATCCGAAGCTCATAGCATTAGCCAGCTTGGAAATCAGCCACGATAACGGTATGGCAGAAGAAATTGCGGCCTTTTCTCTGCTCGATGAAGAGGCGGATGTAAAACAAGTTCGTGAGGAGGTCGCCGCCAGCTGTAGCGTCGACGCGAGACTCATCGAGGACATCTACCCCTGCTCGCCCCTCCAGGAAGGACTGATCTCGCTGACATCCAAGAGAGCAGGAGACTACATCATGCAGAGCGTCCTGGAGCTGCGAGCCGACATTGACGAAGACGCCTTCCGGGCCGCTTGGGAGCACGTCTTCCGGTCAACACCAGCCTTACGCACGCGGATTGTGCAGAACAACAAGGTTGGATTGATGCAGGTTGTTGTAGCAGAGGATATCCAATGGGTAGAGTCAGAGAGCCTAGATGAGTATCTTCAGAAGGATAAGTCTCTTTCCATGGAGCTAGGTGATCCGCTTACGCGCTTCGCCCTTGTTAAGGAAAGCCAAGGAGGGAAGCGCTGGTTTGTAGGGACTATTCACCATGTCCTGTACGACGGCTGGTCACTGCCCCGAATTGTGGATGCAGTCACCAAGACATACAATGGCGCCAAGGCAGAAAAGCAGCCTAGCTTCCACGCCTTTATCAAGTATCTTAGGCAACAAGACCAGGAGGCAGGAGAGATGTACTGGAAAACCGCTCTTGCTGACTGCCAGGCGACACTGTTCCCTCCACTACCGCCAGCAGTGCAGCAGCCAATTGCAGATGCGACAATGGCTTATCAATGCCCTCCGTTTCATAACGTCCACTCTGACACGACGACGTCAACACTTCTGCGCGCCGCCTGGGCCCTCGTCGCTAGTCGCTATACCAACTCAGACGACGTGGTATTTGGCGCTATAGTTACAGGACGCAATGCCCCTGTTCCTGGAATTGAGGCTATGATTGGGCCTACTATTGCAACTGTTCCAGTGCGAGTGCGCGTACAGGGCGACCAAGCAGTGTCCGACTTTTTGCAAGGGGTACAGCAACAGTCAACGGAGATGATTGCGTACGAGCAGACGGGACTGCAGCGGATCGCCAAGATGGCGGAGGGCGCCCGACATGCCTGCGGCTTTCAGACTCTGTTGGTAGTGCAGCCTGCAGGCAATGCACCGGAGAGCGATGCGGTGCTAGGAGAGTGGCGGGGGCGCTCAGAGCTACAAGACTTCACGACGTATCCGCTGATGCTGCAGTGCGCGCTGGCTGCAGAAGGGGTACACATTACGGCAACCTTCGACTCGCGTGTGGTAGAGCGATGGCTAATCGAGAAGATACTGGGCCAGTTCACCTTCGTCATGCAACAGCTGGCAGGGGCAAGACCAGAGGACAAGGTGGCAGACATCGATACCCTCACACCCGGCGACAGACAAGAGATATGGACGTGGAACGCTGAGACGCCACCAGTGGTTGAACGATGTTTCCACGATCTGGTCGCTGAGCAGGCCATAGCGCGGCCATCTGCGCAGGCCATCTGTGCGTGGGATGGGGAGATGACGTACAGAGAGCTGGATGAATTTTCGACTAGACTAGCAGGCCATCTAGTCGAGATTGGCGTCGTGCCAGAGGACGTCGTGCCACTCTGCTTCGAGAAGTCTATGTGGACGATTGTCGCCATGCTGGCGGTGCTCAAAGCAGGCGGAGCATTCGCACCCCTAGACCCAGAACATCCACAAAGCCGCCACGAAGAAATATTTAAGCAGACAGGGGCTACAGTGGCACTCACATCGGCGCAGTACTCTACCCTTTGGGCAGGCTCAGCCCGCACTGTTGTCGCAGTCAGTGCAACGTCAATCCAGCACCTATTAAACAGAACCCACTCGACGCATTCTGCAGTTCAGCCAAGCAATACCGCATACATTATCTTCACGTCAGGGAGCACCGGAGTGCCGAAAGGTGTTCTGCTGGAGCACAGGGCTGTCTCTACAGGTTGCCTGGGCCATGGAAGAGCACTCGGAATCGAACCGTGCACCAGAGCTCTGCAGTTCGCCTCGTACACATTTGACGTCTGCATTGACGAGATCCTGACCGTACTCCTGCATGGTGGCTGCGTATGTGTCCCGTCTGATATTAATAGGCGCGATAATCTAGCTCAAGCTATCAAGGATATGGACGTAAACTGTGCATTTCTTACTCCGTCCGTCGCCCGATTGCTTGATCCTGTCATCGTTTCTTCGCTTAAGACGTTAGTTATTGGAGGTGAGCGGGTCAGCTCTGCCGATTGGGAGAGATGGGGAGGGAACGTCCGAATGATAAACGGCTATGGGCCAGCAGAGTGCTGCGTGTGTTGTTGCACGTTTTCAGATGTTCAAGGCTTTGAATCTGGGAAGATTGGCAAGCCTGTGGCTTCCGTCAGCTGGGTGGTGGATCCCCAGAACCACAACCAGCTGGCGCCCCTAGGATCAATAGGCGAGCTTCTCGTAGAAGGACCAATCCTCGCGCGCGGCTACCTCAACGACCATGAGAAGACGAAGAGAGCATTCATAAACGATCCCGCTTGGCTCCTGGAAGGTGGGGGGGGCCGTTCCGGGCGTCAAGGAAGAATGTACAAGACGGGTGACTTGGTCTACTATGGGCCTGATGGCAACTTAGTCTACGTAGGTCGGAAAGATGACCAGGTCAAAGTGCGAGGCCAGCGAGTCGAGCTGGGTGAGATTGAGTACCACGTGCGGGAGTGCATGACCGAGGCACAGCAGATAGCCGTGGAGGTGATCTTTCCAGCGGGAGACAAAGAAAGTGCCACCCTAGCAGTTTTCCTGCAGCTAGATGGCGAGGAGCGCGATGAACTACAACCGGACAACGCAATGGACAACAGCTCCTCAGTGAAGATGGTCATCCTAACTGAAGTGGACAAGAAGCTAGCCGACTCTCTGCCCAGCCATATGATACCTGACGTATACTTTGCGCTGTCGCGCCTTCCCATGACAGATTCCGGCAAGACGAACAGGAAGCGACTCCGCGAGATCGGGGCCTCGTTCTCAGCCCAGCAGCTGGCTGAAATGCGGACGTCAAGCCAGGGTCCGAAGCGGCAGCCGTCGACAGAAGCCGAGCAGACGATGCAGCAGCTGTGGGCGCATGTGTTGAACATCAACCCTGAGACCATTGGTATAGACGATAGCTTCTTCCGCCTAGGCGGCGACTCTATTACAGCTATGCAGCTGTCTGCAAGTGCTCGCTCGCTCCAAATCCATCTGTCAACGCGCGACATCTTTCGCAGGAAGACCATTGCCGAACTCGTCCGCTATGCGACATTATCAAAGCCTCTTCAGCTCGCGCGCGCTGCAGAAGATCCAGTCAACACACCGTTTAGCCTGGCCCCGATCCAAGAGCTGTACCTCCGGCTTGAACCTACTGGTAGAGCCAGTTTTGATCAGTCTGTCTTCTTAGAACTTCGTAGCGAAGTGTCACTTGAGTTGCTCTATAATGCCCTTAGGACCCTTGTCCAGCGACACTCTATGCTAAGGGCTCGATTCAGCAAAGCAGTTGGAGGCAGATGGCAGCAATATGTTTCTGATTCTGCTGATGCTTCCTTCACCTTGCAACATGCGCGACCTACGGACACTGCAGACATCACCCAGGCCATACTCGAAAGCCGCAAGCGCCTAGACATTGAGAGTGGGCCAGTCATGGCAGCGGTCTTGTTTGACGTTGGCAAGCGTCAGTCGCTATTCATGGCTGTTCATCACCTAGTGATTGACCTAGTTTCATGGCGGGTTCTTCTTGAAGAGCTGGAATACTTACTCCTCGGCCAAGCCCTATCCCCTGCATCCTCAATGCCCTTCCAAACCTGGAGCGCTATTCAGACGGAGTACGCTGGTAAGGATGCAGATCACAGAAATAGGATGATACAAGAGAAGATGGACCTCAGCCAGCTATCGTACTGGGGCGTCGCATCCAGCACTATATCGCACACCCCTACAACTACCGAGCAGTTTGTACTTGATACAAAGACGACATCCGCTCTTCTTGGAAGCTGCAACAACACCCTCCGAACGCGCCCTCTTGAGCTTATGATTGCAGCCCTAATTCATTCGTTTGCGGCTGTCTTCCCTGATCGAACGCCTCCTCCCATCTTCAATGAGACTCATGGGCGTGAGCCATGGGACGACAGTATCGACCTTTCGCGAACTGTGGGGTGGTTTACGAGTATGTTCCCTGTCCAGGTATCAACTAGCGCGCGCAGCAGCTTGCTACATGTCATCCGTGCAACAAAGGATTGCATGCGTAGCTTTAGGCGCAGTGGCCGGTCGTATTTTGCGTCCCATTTCGTCAACGAAGACACTATCCAGGATTACGCATCTATTTTCCCTGTGGAAATGGTGTTTAATTACCAAGGTGTGTACCAGCAGCTTGAGCGCGACAAGTCGCTGTTTAAGAATGTGCCTATTCCAGAAGGCTGCGAGCTAGCATCAGCGGCTGAAGCCGGGAAGTTCTCCTTATTTACAGCCTCTGTGGTCATCGAAAAAGGATGCGCGCATGTAAGTGTTACACACAGTGGTATCACGAAGCATCAAACGCAAATTCGAGACTGGGTTCAACTGTACGAGAACACCTTGATGGATATGCCCAACCTTCTCTGCTTCAGAAGCCCCGAGTGGACACTGAGCGATCTTTCATTGGCTTTCCACTCATACGCCGACCTTGACCGCTTCCAAAATGACACTCTTGCGAAACTAGGTGTGGGGCCAGAGGATGTTGAAGACGTCTACCCCTGCTCTCCAATGCAGGAAGGGATCCTGGCCAGCCAGAGCAGAGACCCTAATGCTTATCGCGTGTGCCTTATTCTTGAAGCCGTATCCAAGCAGAACACACGGGTTGACTGCGGTCGGCTACAGCGCGCTTGGAAGGCCGTTGTTCGACGACACTCGCTACTACGGGCACTGCTAGTGGATCACGTCCCCGGAAGCTCGGGCATCACCAACATTGTGCTTAAGAATCCCCAACCAAGTATCTCAGTTTTCCAGGCTACAGGAGATACAGTGAACCTTGAATTATTCCGCGCTCGCTACAACCCAGTCAACCAGCAGGCAAGTGGCTTACAGCATCATCTCTCCATCTGCCAGCTCGACAACCAAAGAGTATACCTATGCTTTGACATTAACCATGCTATCATGGATGCCCACTCGAGAGGCATCATCATGCGCGACCTGCAGACTGCATACAGTGCTGATCTCGATTCACACGGCGCACCATTCAGGAATGTCATCTCTTACTTGAAGGAGCAGTCACAGGAAGAGGCCGGCCGCTATTGGGCCAATCAATTGGAGGGTATCGAGCCATGCTATTTCCCCTCGATGGCAGATGCCGGAGTGGAAGGTCACAGGGACGAGACAGTGGAGGTGCCCAATCTCGATGCAGGCATAATCCACGCGTTCTGTGAGGCATGGGAAATCACCCCGGCTACCCTCATTCAGACAGCTTGGGCGTTAGTACTCAGCCGTTACACTGGCTCTACAGCCCCATGCTTTGGTAGTCTCTCGTCAGGACGAGATGTGCCAATTGATGGCATTGACGACATCTTCGGCCCGCTGATTACCATGCTAACCTGCCGGGTACGTCTTCATGAGCAGTTAACTGTAATAGAGGCCCTACGGACGGTGCAGTCAGACTATATGAATGCCTTAACACATCAGACATTCTCACTAGCCAGCGTACATAACATGCTTCAACTCGGAACATCTCCGCTATTTAATACTAGTCTATCCATTCAGCGGATTGACGATGTGGAGGGAGATGATACTCCAGATGTTCTCTTCCATTTCCAGGATGGTCAGGATCCGACCGAGGTATGTTAATGCAATATCTAAGTTGTATCGATGAAGCTAAAACGTTCGACTAGTATGATATCATTGTTGGTGCCCGCTACAGCAACACAGTTATGGAAGCCAGCATGACGTTCCAGACCAGCTGTATGGACCAACTTCAAGCGAAACGCGTGGTAGAAAGCCTCAGTATAGCGATTGCCGCCATAACAGAAGGGCCTAACACTCCGGTGTGTGACCTAGATTTGGTAACAAATGAAGAGAGACGTCAACTATGGGCCTGGAACAGCGCCATTCCTCCAACAGTAGACGAGTGCGTCCACGACATCTTCTCTGACCGTGCAAGATCTCAGCCTGAGGCGCAGGCCATCTGTGCATGGGATGGCGAGATGACGTACAGCGATCTGGATGAATTATCGACCAGGCTAGCAGGCCATCTAATCGAGCTCGGCGTCAAGCCAGAAGACATCGTGCCACTCTGCTTCGAGAAGTCTATGTGGACGATTGTCGCCATGATGGCCGTACTCAAAGCGGGTGGAGCATTCGCACCCCTAGACCCAGAACATCCACAAAGCCGGCGCGAGGAGATCTTCAAGCAGACGGGGGCTGAAGTGGTGCTCACTTCAGCGCAGTACTCTACCCTATGGGAAGGCTCGACCCGCACCGTCGTCACAGTGAGCGAGACGTCGATCCACAACCTGTCAAACAAAACCCACTCGAAGCAATCTGCAGTAGAGCCAAGCAATATTGCATACGTTATCTTTACTTCAGGAAGCACTGGAGTGCCGAAAGGTGTTGTCCTGGAACACAGAGCAGTCTCTACAGGATGCCTAGGGCATGGAAAAGCTTTTGGAATTACGTCACAGGCACGTTTTCTTCAGTTTGCTGCTTTCACCTTCGATATCTGCATTACTGAGATCATCACAACCCTTCTACACGGTGGAAGCGTGTGTATCCCCTCCGAAGGTGATAGGCGTGACAACTTAACAAAAGCAATTAACGATATGCGAGTTAATTGGGCCTATCTAACCCCAACAGTTGCACGCCTGCTGGATTCTGAAAATGTTCCATCACTTCAAAAATTGATCCTTGGAGGAGAGGAAGTCAGTAGCGCGGACAGTAAAAGATGGGCAGGGAAAGTCGAAATCATAAATGCGTACGGTCCTGCGGAGTGTACTGTTCTCTGCACAGCCTACTTTGGTCTAGAAGGCTTCAAGTCAGGGTGGATCGGCAAGTCGATCGCGTCTGT